ATATATATATATATGTATATATATATATTCACATCAAAAACATCTTCCTTATATGGGCAATATGGGGACTATTCTTGCGGGGGGTTCTTATGCTAACGGAAGCAAGACCCAACTCCTGTCCTTCTCGCACAGTCTGACGATGATGACTTCGATGCCGAGACCTCGTCGATGTCACTCGCGTATCTTCTTTTCAAAGGGGGTCCCTATTACGTGGGTCGCTTAAGTTTTTTCAATAGTGTTTAAGGGTTTTAAGGGTTTTAGGGGTCTCAAGGACTTTGTGGTTTTAGGGGCTTTAGCTGGTCTACATATGTTTTCGGGGCGTTTTTGAGGCAGTCGCAATCAAGCCGCGCGCGTTTGGACAGGGCATTCCCGGGCATGAGCCTGGCAGACGAAGGATCTCACTAGCGACGTAGTCCCTAAAGCCCTAAACCCCTCAACCCCTAAACCCCTGAACCCTAAGCCCTACACCCTAAACCCTAAGCCCGAAACCCTAAGCCGCTAAACCCTGCACCCTAAACCATGAACCCCGCACCCGTCGTCTGAACCCCCAAGCCAAGTTGGTTTTGGGTTTTAGGGTCTACTCGTGGAATGTTCCCCATTATAAACAGTCCTTAATCGGGATTCGAGTACCCCCCCCCCCCCTTCTTATGCCTATTAGGACTGTAGTATTGGGGGAACATCCCAAGGTTTAGGTTTCAAGGCTTCTTGCCGTCATGAAGGTGTGACAGGATCCCTCTTGGAAATGCTGCTGCGCAGGCTTCTGGGCCCTGGACCAGCCCACTCTAAACCCAAAACCCGAAACCCCAAACCTTGATCCCCAAACCCTAAACCCAAAACCCCAAACCCCAAACCCTAAAACCCCAAACCCTGAATACTAAACCCTAAACCCTACACCCTAACCCTAAACGCTAAACCCTAAACCCTAAACCCTAAACCCTAAACCCTCCATTTGCAGGGCACCCCTCTTCTGAGATGCACTCGCCCAGGCCTTTGCAGAGACACCAGGCTTTCCGCTCGGAGGGTTTAGGACTTCGTGTTTAGGGTTTAGGGAAGTTTAGGGTTTAGGGTTTAGGGTCTACATAGGGTTTAGGGTTCGTACTTCGGGTTGCGGGGGTTGAGGGTTTGAGACAGTTAGAGAGTGCGCGCTTGTCAAGCTGAGGTGTTTAATTTTTGAACGCTCACCAGGTGTAAAAGGGTGTAGGACCGTAGGGTTTCAGTGGTTCAGAGTTTAGGTTTCTGGGTCGATGTGATTCCGGTGAAGTGTCCGCGGGGTCACCTTTGGGCCTTTTTGCTTCAGGGGACCTCATGCGTCCGCTTGGGGGTGGTCCCATGTGGTTGACTACATATCCCGACGGCAATTCGATCACCCTAAACCTTAAACCCTAAACCCTAAACCCTAAACCCAAAACCCATGAGCGCGCTGGCTGGCCATGCCTGCAGCAAGTCGGCCGTTCCTTGGGTCGTTGAGTTGCTCCTGTTGTGGAAGCAAGCAAGTAGACTGCGCCAGAGATGGGTTATGCATGCATGCATGTGCTGAAAGATGGCTTGCGAATATACCCTCGCCCTAGGGAGGCAGAGGCCACTTTGAGATGCCTCCCTCCACACCGGTGGCCGGGTGTGGGGCAGCTATGCTTCCGGCAAGTTACTGGCTGCCCTTGAGGCCAACGCGCCTATGGCCATGGCGTACGACAGCGGAGCTATGCGCCAACGTGTCCGCTGGTGGGCAGCCAGCACGTACCCAAGAGGTTGCAAAACCCGATACGTGCGGAATGCATCACAGGCAGGGGAGGCCTCGTCGTTCTCACAATCCTTGAGTCGTTGAGTTGCTTCTGTTGTGGTATCATGTACTTAGTAAGTAGACTGCGCCATAGATGGGTTTTGCCGGTTGTGCATGCATGTGCTGGAACACTCACGGAACGCTGTTTGGAGGCCGCGTGGTTGAAAGGCGCAGTGGCGCTACTGCACATGTTAAATGTTGCCTTGGATGGCTGTTTCTCTTGCACGGAGGCGTCCATCGCGTCAGCACGGCCACTCGATGTGATGACTGCCCAACCCGCGGGAAGTTGCTGCCCGAATGTGGAGCACTTCCCCCCGCCGTGGGGGTTCCGGTGATGTGTCCGCGGGGTCACCTTTGGGCCTTCTTGCTTCAGGGGAGCTCATGCGTCCGCTGGGGGGTGGTCCCAGGTGGTTGACCTCATATCCCGACGGCAATTCGATCGGCATGTCACTCATGCAAAGTAGGGGAGGCCCAGAGAGCCTTGCGAAGCGCAGCGGCTGAAGCGCATTCCGCCCCCAAGGCCTTTGGCCGCCCTTAGTCTTTGGCTTCAAACCCCTATACTCGACGAAGTCCTATACCACTCCTATACCCCAAACCTCCTAGGGTTTAGGGTTTAGGGTTTAGGGTTTAGGGAAACTTTGGCCCTAAACCCTCATGCCAATAAAGCCTCAAAACCCTGAGGTCTTAGCCCCCACAGCCTGTGAACCTTGAAGAAGGCCAGCCGTCCATCACCTTCCGACGCTCGCGCTTCCTTAGCGCCTCATCAGGCCAGTGAGAGGGGGGGGGGGATCCCTGGTGCAGGGCTTAGGGTTTAGGGTTTAGGGTTTAGGGTTTAGGGTTTAGGGTTTAGGGTTTAGGGTTTAGGGTTTAGGGCTTAGGGCTTAGGGCTTAGGGCTTAGGGGTTCCGAGGGTCTAGGGGGCCCCTATAAAGGAACATAGGGCCGGAATGGGAGCATATGCGCGGAAGGGTTTAGGGTTTAAGTGTTTTAGGGTTTAAAGTTTAGGGTTTAGGGTTTAAAGTTTAGGGTTTAGGGTTTAGGGGTTAGGGTAGGGTTATAAATGTTCGGGTGTTTGGGGTTTAGGGCTTGAATAGATGGTCCCCTCCCGGTATTGTGGTACATCTTTCGCGAAGTGTTCGTCGGGATCACATCGACCTGATCCCACAGATCCCACAGAGTTGTGTTAAGCGTTTGGGGTCGTCCAGAAATTTGGCGAGGTCGCAATCTAAAACAAATCCTAAAGCGCAACCAAGAATCTCACTCTCGCAGGTTGTCATGAACGTTTGGGCTCCCATGAACCCCCCAACTTCTCAACCCAAGCCCTCTGCAACCCCCAACCCTAAACCCTAAACCCTAAACCCCAAAACCCCAAAACCCCCATGCTCTAAATCCTCTTCAACCGCACCGTCAGAAGCAGCCTCGCCGCAGCGCGCGGCAGCCTGCACGGCCTGTTTACTTCTTGGATGGACCGTGGGGTTCTAGGGTTTAGGATTTAGGGCACTAACCCACAAGCACCCCACCCCCTGGTAAACCCTCATACCCTCGGGAGCGAGATTATGTAACCCCAAACCCAAACCCTCAACCCTTGTAAGCCTACAAAGCCCTAAACCAAAAAATGCACAAACCTTAAATCCCTAAAGCCTCAAATCCCCGAACCTCCCGGTCAATCCGAAACCCATAAGGCCCAACAAGCCCCAGACTCAACCTAGACCCTAAACCCTCAACCCCTCAACCCTAAACCCTAGAGCCTAAATCCTAACCCGTAAACCGTAAACCCTAAACCCTAGACCCTAAACCCTACACCCTACACCCCACACCCTAAACCCTAACCCCAAACCCTAAACCCTAAACTCTATACCCTATACCCTAAACCCGAAACCCTAAATCCTCAACCCTAAACCGCACAGCCGACATGCAGACCGGCCGCCGCGCTCCCACCGTTCGAGCGGAGAAGGATGTCACGTGGCGGGTGTGTCATAGGGCTGAACTTGGGGGTTTAGGGTTGCTTTTACGGTTTTGGGTTTGTAGGGCTTAGGGTTTTTCTAGGGTTTTAGGGTTTAGAGTTTCGGGTTTAGGGCAAGCATAAACCCGAAATCCTACCCCAAATAACCCCCACTGCTTTAGGTCATAGGAGTCTTATGAATGTCGGGCTTCAAGGCCAAGAGGTCGGATTAACACCCTAAGCCCTGGAGCCTAACACCCCAAACGGTCTAGGATTTAGGGTTTACGGTTGAGGGATAGGGCGTAGGAACTAGGGCTTTTGGGGGGGGGGGGGGGGGGGGGCTAGGGTTTAGGGTTTAGGGTTTAGGGTTTAGGGTTTAGGGTTTAGGGTTTAGGGAACATGGCCCCCGATTTCCGGGGGACTTCTTTGATTTTAATCCTTGAACCCTGCACCCTGGAGCCGCCAAACCCAAAGCCCGGAATTCTAAACCCTTAGGGTTTAGGGTTTAGGGTTTAGTGTTTAGGGTTTAGTTCAGGGTTCAGGGTTTAGGGAAACTTTGGCCCTAAACCCTCATGCCAATGAAGCCTCAACCCTATCTCTAAACCCTAAACCCTTAATTAGCCCTAAACCCCTAAACCCTAAATCCTTCAGGCAGTTAGGGCAAGAGTTGCTGATGTGCCTGCAACGATGTGTTCCTTAAATTGGCGGCATTGGGGCCTGCAGGGGAGATATCCCCCAAATCCTAAACCCAAAGCCCTCTGAAAGTAGGGATTTTGGGGGGGGGCTTGAGGCTTAGGGGGGAACCCTAAACCCTAAACCCTAAACCCTAAACCCTAAACCCTAAACCCTAAACCCTAAACCCTAAACCCTAAACCCTAAACCCTAAACCCTAAACCCTAAACCCTAAACCCTAAACCCTAAACCCTAAACCCTAAACCCTAAACACCCTAAACCCTAAACCCTAAACCCTAAACCCTAAACCCTAAACCCTAAACCCTAAACCCTAAACCCTAAACCCTAAACCCTAAACCCTAAACCCTAAACCCTAAACCCTAAACCCTAAACCCTAAACCCTAAACCCTACTAAACCCTAAACCCTAAACCCTAAACCCTAAACCCTAAACCCTAAACCCTAAACCCTAAACCCTAAACCCTAAACCCTAAACCCTAAACCCTAAACCCTAAACCCTAAACCCTAAACCCTAAACCCTAAACCCTAAACCCCCTTCTTGCCGCAAAAGATACAGGTCACGCCCAACCGCTTTGCCCCTGCTGCCGAGCCATGTCGTTCCACGGGCAGGACGATGCCGGGATGAAAGGCGCCATGCTCTCGGCCCTACTGCCTCTGTTGGGAACCGGCCTCGGATTCTACTACCTTGTTGCCGGGGTAACTCGGTAGGCCCTTGGGACATTTTGTATTTTCCCTTTTTTGGGGTTTAAGAGGATCATATTCAGGAATATCTTTTCTGAGGGTGTTTTAAGGGCCATCCTAGGTAAAGAAGGCCAAGGCGGAAGTGGAAGGCTGTTCCATCGACAGGCACACCGTTGTGAGCAGCATCATGCTGGCTGTGTGCACACTCTACGGCTTCGTCGGCGCCGCCGTCATCCTCGCCGACCTTGGCAAGGACCCGGCCTTACCCGCGAACTCCGCCTGCGCCGCGGGCCTGGTGAATGGCCTCTCCTCAGCAATCTCGGCCATAGGCCAGGGATATTTCTCAGCCAGGGCCGTGGAGGCAGGGGCCCGGCAGCCGCGCAGCTTCGTTGCGTTCGTCTTGATCTTGATTTACATCGAGGCCTTTGCCCTCTACGGCCTCGTTGTCAGCCTCGTCATCGGTGGCGTCGCCATCCAGGCGGGTTCTTTGGGCCTTGGGGGAGCTTGGGGAGACTGATCGCCCGCCGTAGCCGTCTGGTCTCCCTCAACACTAAACCCTAAAGCCTAACCCTAAACCCCAACCCTGAACCCTAAACCTAAATCCTAAACCCTCGTAAGTCTCGCCATATGTGTCTATTGTATATCTAGGAAGGTTCGATAGTTAGAGGAGCATCTCTTGGTTGACTCAGAAGCAAGCACACCAGAGGATCAGACCGATCTTCCTACGGGGGCCCTGGTGCCTTCCACCAGCAGCTTCCTCCTCGCTACTTTAGGCGGCGTGGTTGGCTCCACAGCCTCAGGCTGTGCGATCATGGAGGTAGCTTGGTTTGTTTCTTGAGCTCCATTTCTTACGCTGCGCTTCAAGAAAATCGGGGGCTTGAAGTCTAGGGGTTTCGGGCCCTTTCAGGCCTATAGGAGAGTCGTCTCTCTGTCCTAGCTTGCAAGAGAGCTACCCTAAACCCTAAACCCTAAACCCTAAACCCTAAACCCTAAACCCTAAACCCTAGACCCTAGACCCTAGACCCTAAACCCTAAACCCTAAACCCTAAACCCTAAACCCTAAACCCTAAACCCTAAACCCTAAACCCTAAACCCTAAACCCTAAACCCTAAACCCTAAACCCTAAACCCTAAACCCTAAACCCTAAACCCTAAACCCTAAACCCTAGACCCTAGACCCTAGACCCTAGACCCTAAACCCCAAACCCTAAACCCTAAACCCTAAACCCTAAACCCTCAACCCAACTGCAGATGACCGTTGGGGCGCCGCACATGGCGATGCGGGCGATGCTTCCAGTCGTCTTCAATGGTGTCACTGGTATCTACGGCCTGATTCTTGGCAGCCCAGTGGTACCCTTTTCCCTTCTTGGAACAAGTTTAAAATAATTCGTAGCCAGGTACTTGGGCCCTAAAGCTATTTTTTTTGGAGTACCCTTTTCCCGTCTCCCTTATGAAGTAACCAGCCCCAAAGGGTGCCCCCATTGTAAAATGGTTCCTGGGCTACCAAGCACATAGTATATACTTGGGCCCTCAACTACATACAGGAACCCCTTCATGGCTGGTTACAGGGCTACCAAGGATTAATGCCATCGTGGACACGCAGCCGTGGCCGCCGAGCGGAAACGACTGGGCAGCTGGGATCCTCTACCTCCTCTCAAGCGCAGGCTTCCCCGACTTCGGGTTTAGGGTTTAGGGTTTAGGGTTGAGGGTTGAGGGTTGAGGGTTGAGGGTTTAGGGTTTAGGGTTTATATAGGGTTTATGTACGTAGGACCTCTATGTATAGTGTGGGAAATCCCCTTCTGTATGTCTCTATATATATATATATACTTACAGGAATCTATAATTAAAATATTTAAGAAATAAACTTTTTAAGTTTTATAAATTTTACTCTTAAGGCAAAATCTTTAAAATTTATAAAATGTATAAAATTTATAAAATTTATAAAGCTTCCTTCTAAACTTGAGCAAACCAGGCTTTTATAAATTTCACCTTAAGGGAAAAATTTATAAATTTATAAAAATTATAAAGTTTTGGGTTCAGGCGTCCCGGGAAACCTTTAAAATTTAAAAAATTTTATAAAATTCATAAAATTTATAAAAATTTATAAAATTTATAAAGCTTCCTTCTAAACTTGAGCAAGCCAGGCTTTATAAATTTTATAAATTTTATAAATTTCACCTTAAAGGGTAAAATGTATAAAATTTATAACACTTATAAAGTTTTGGGTTCAGGCGTCCCGGGAAACCTTTAAAATTTATAAAATTTATAAAATTTATAAAATTTATAAAATTTATAAAATTTATAAAATTTATACAGCTTCCTTCTAAACTTGAGCAAACCAGGCTTTATAAATTTTAGAAATTTTATAAATTTCACCTTAAAGGGTAAAATTTATAAAATTTATAAAATTTATAAAATTTATAAAATTTATAAAGTTTTGGGTTCAGGCGTCCCGGGAAACCTTTAAAATTTATAAAATTTATAAAATTTATATAATTTATAAAATTTATAAAGCTTCCTTCTAAACTTGAGCAAACCAGGCTTTATAAATTTTATAAATTTTATAAATTTCACCTTAAAGGGTAAAATTTATAAAATTTATAAAATTTATAAAGTTTTGGGTTCAGGCGTCCCGGGAAACCTTTAAAATTTATAAAATTTGCAAAATTTATAAAATTTATCAAATTTATAAAATTTATAAAGCTTCCTTCTAAACTTGAGCAAACCAGGCTTTATAAATTTTATAAATTTTATAAATTTCACCTTAAAGGGTGAAATTTATAAAATTTATAAAATTTATAAAGTTTTGGGTTCAGGCGTCCCGGGAAACCTTTAAAATTTATAAAATTTATAAAATTTATACAATTTATAAAATTTATAAAGCTTCCTTCTAAACTTGAGCAAACCAGGCTTTATAAATTTTATAAATTTTATAAATTTCACCTTAAAGGGTAAATTTTATAAAATTTATAAAATTTATAAAGTTTTGGGTTCAGGCGTCCCGGGAAACCTTTAAAATTTTTAAAATTTATAAAGTTTATAAAATTTATAAAATTTATAAAATTTATAAAATTTATAAAATTTATAAAATTTATAAAATTTATAAATTTTATAAAGCTTCCCTCTAAACTTGAGCAAACCAGGCTTTATAAGTTTTATAAATTTTATAAATTTCACCTTCAGGGTAAAATTTATAAAATTTATAAAACTTATAAAGTTTTGGGTTCAGGCGTCCCGGGAAACCTTTAAAATTTATAAAATTTATAAAATTTATAAAATTTATAAAGCTTCCTTCTAAACTTGAGCAAACCAGGCTTTATAAATTTTATAAATTTTATAAATTTCACCTTAAGGGTAAAATTTATAAAATTTATAAAATTTATAAAGTTTTGGGTTCAGGCGTCCCGGGAAACCTTTAAAATTTATAAAATTCATAAAATTTATAAAAATTTATAAAGCCTGGTTTGCTCAAGTTTAGAAGGAAGCTTTATAAATTTTATAAATTTTATAAATTTTTCCCTTAAGGTGAAATTTATAAAATTTATAAAATTTATAAAGCCTGGTTTGCTCAAGTTTAGAAGGAAGCTTTATAAATTGTATAAATTTTATAAACTTTATAAATTTTATAAATTTTACCGGGACGCCTGAACCCAAAACTTTATAATTTTTTTAAATTTTATAAGTTTTACCCCTTAAGGTGAAATTTTATAAAATTTATAAAACTTATAAAGCCTGGTTTGCTCAAGTTTAGAAGGAAGCTTTATAAATTTTATAAATTTTATAAATTTTACAAATTTTGCAAATTTTATAAATTTTAAAGGTTTCCCGGGACGCCTGAACCCAAAACTTTATAAATTTTATAAATTTTATAAATTTTACCCTTTAAGGTGAAATTTAAAGAATTTATAAAATTTATAAAGCCTGGTTTGCTCAAGTTTAGAAGGAAGCTTTATAAGTTTTATAAATTTTATAAATTTTATAAATTTTGCAAATTTTATAAATTTTAAAGGTTTCCCGGGACGCCTGAACCCAAAACTTTATAAATTATATAAATTTTAGAAATTTTACCCTTTAAGGTGAAATTTATAAAATTTTATATTTTATAAAGCCTGGTTTGCTCAAGTTTAGAAGGAAGCTTTATAAATTATATAAATTTTATAAATTTATAAATTTTAAAGGTTTCCCGGGACGCCTGAACCCAAAACTTTATTAATTTTAAAAATTTTATAAATTTTATAAATTTTACCCTTTAAGGTGAAATTTATAAAATTTCTAAAATTTATAAAGCCTGGTTTGCTCAAGTTTAGAAGGAAGCTTTATAAATTTTATAAATTTTATAAATTTTATAAATTTTATAAATTTTAAAGGTTTCCCGGGACGCCTGAACCCAAAACTTTATAAATTTTTATAAATTTTATAAATTTTACCCTTAAGGTGAAATTTATAAAATTTATAAAATTTATAAAGCCTGGTTTGCTCAAGTTTAGAAGGAAGCTTTATAAATTTTACAAATTTTATAAATTTTATAAATTTTATAAACTTTAAAGGTTTCCCGGGACGCCTGAACCCAAAACTTTATAAATTTTATAAATTTTATAAATTTTATAAATTTTATAAATTTTATAAATTTTATAAATTTTACCCTGAAGGTGAAATTTTTAAAATTTATAAAATTTATAAAGCCTGGTTTGCTCAAGTTTAGAAGGAAGCTTTATAAATTTTATAAATTTTATAAATTTTATAATTTTTTAAATTTTATAAATTTTTATAAATTTTATAAATTTTAAAGGTTTCCCGGGACGCCTGAACCCAAAACTTTATAAATTTCATAAATTTTATAAATTTTTCCCTTAAGGTGAAATTTATCAAATTCATAAAAATTTTTCAAGCCTGGTATGCTCCAGTTTAGAAGGAAGCTTTATAAATTTCAAAAATTTTATAAATTTTCAAGGTTTCCCGGGACGCCTGAACCCAAAACTTTATAAATTTTATAAATTTTACAAATTCTACCCTTTAAGGTGAAAATAAATTTATAAAATTTAGAAAGCCTGGTTTGCTCAAGTTTAGAAGGAAGCTTTATAAATTTTATAAATTTTATAAATTTTTTTCGTAAATTTTATAAATTTTATAAATTTTAAAGGTTTCCCGGGACGCCTGAACCCAAAACTTTATAAATTTTTGAAATTTTATAAATTTTACCCTTTAAGGTGAAATTTATAAAAATTTATAAAATTTATAAAGCCAGGTTTGCTCAAGTTTAGAAGGAAGCTTTATAAATTTTATAAATTGTATAAATTTTAAAGGTTTCCCGGGACGCCTGAACCCAAAACTTTATAAATTTTATAAATTTTATAAATTTTACCCTTTAATGTGAAATTTATAAAATTGATAAAATTTATAAAGCCTGGTTTGCTCAAGTTTAGAAGGAAGCTTTTTAAATTTTATAAATTTAATTAATTTTTATAAATTTTATAAAAGGTTTCCTGGGACGCCTGAACCCAAAACTTTATAAATTTTTATAAATTTTATAAATTTTACCCTTTAAGGTGAAATTTATAAAATTTATAAAATTTATAAAGCCTGGTTTGCTCAAGTGTAGAAGGAAGCTTTATAAACTTTTTAAATTTTGTAAGTTTTATAAATTTTATAAGTTTTATAAATTTTAAAGTTTCCCGGGACGCCTGAAACCCAAAACTTTATAAATGTTGATAAATTTTATAAATTTTACTCTTAAGGTGAAATTTATACAATTTATAAAATTTGTAGAATTTATACAATTTATAAAGCCTGTTTGCTCAAGTGTAGAAGGAAGCTTTATAAATTCAATACTTTAAATAGTTTAAATATTTTACTCATGGAAGCGATACTCATTTAAAACAATTCCATTACTTCAATGAATTAAGCTATTTAACGGGACTTCTTCACTTCAAACTCTCCCGCGTCTCTGATGAAGTATGTCCCCTGTGAGGGCTTGGAATTCGTTTGCTTGCGAAGAGGTGCGGGGATGAGGCGGAAGAAGGAATGATGAAATTATTTAAATCATGTGAATTATTTAAATTATTGAAATTAATTAAATGGTCTGGCTGTTGGAGTAATGATTTTATTTGAATAATTAAATTCTGGAGCCCCCAAAATAATTTAAATAATTAAATTGTTTAAATTATTTAATTTATTTTTGGTGCCTACCGAATTTAATTATTTAAATAAATTCATTCCTCCAACAGCCAGACCGTTCAAGTAATTTAGATTATTTAAATAATTTAAACCATTTAAATAATTTAAACAAAAAATTTAATTATTCAAATCCCTGATTTGAATAATTAAATTCTTTTGGGAGGCCACAGAATTTTTCTAATTTAATTATTTAAGTCCCTGATTTGAATAATTAAATTCTTTTGGGAGGCCCCAGAACTTACATACTTTAATTATTCAAATCCCTGATTTGAATAATTAAATTCTTTTGGGGGGCACCAGAATGAAATTATTTTATGTTTTACAAACTCTATTTTTTGCATTATTAACTTATGGTATTCTGTTCACCACCCAGAATTCATTCCAGAGGTTACAATATTAATACGAGAATGAAGTGAACATGTGAACGAATGAACTGGGCGTTCTTTGTATTCTCTTTTTGCGCGCCCCTTAAACACTATTGTCTTCTTTCAACTAATCTCAACAGATACAGTGAATGAAATGAACGTGTGATCTGTGATTTAGCGAAAGAAAGAAGATAATGGGGGCGTTCATTTCACTTTGTTCATTCACTTTCTATTTTAGTATCCTGGGTTCTTAGGGTAGACTCGATTCTAAGAGAAGGTTTTTAGGGTAGCCTGTATTCTTAGGGCTGAGTTATTGTTTGGTGGTGGTCTTGATTTTTAGGATAGCTTGGATTCTTAGGGGTGGCCTGTATTCTTAGGATAAGCCTGGATTCTTGGGCTTGAGCTTGCTTTTTGGTGGCAGCCTGGTGTTTTAGAGTAGCCTGGGTTCTTAAGGTAGCCTGGATTCTTGGGGTAGCCCATTCTTAGGGTTGCGTTTTTTTCGTTTTGGTGGCAGCCTGGAT